AAACACGGCTTTTGGCAGTCCAAATATCTCTACATTTGCATAATTCTTTCTTTAGACATTTGCTATATAAACGAATGCTCAAACTGAAAACAGTTTAAACAGATTCTTACATATTACATGGCACGTGATCAAGACAAAAATTAGCCAACATCCCTCAATATGGAGATTAATTTGAAAATGTCATCTCACTCATTTTGATCACTTTTTAAAGGTTTAAAGTAACTCACTATTCCACCTGTTAAACTCTTAGTCGATTAGCTTTCTGTGATTATTCGTGCCAGGGTACGGCAGTAAAAAGCAATGAAAAAGCTTTTGTGAGTAATGCTAATTTGGATTAGAAAAAAATCAAATCATTCATGGTTTATATTTATGGATGGATTTCAAGGGACGATGTGTTTATAATAATTCATATTCCTCAAAGAATTCTTCTTTGACTGTGGCACCATGGCTCGCCGATTAATGCCGTAACGAATCGTTTCAGACCGTAAAATAATCCTCCATGTTTACGGGAATCACGGCCCATCCCGACGGGGTAACTTCACGGGGGATACACGCTGAGGCTGAAGTCCACGCCATGCAAGACAGTGGGCCGGGGCGGTGTGACTCGCAGATCTTCAAATGCCGATGATGAGTCCAATGTGCATCAAACCAACCTCCCCCGGCAAACTCCCGGGAAGCAAGCACAGCTTGTATGTTTAGCCAAAACGCGTTGTCTGGGACTTTTGAGAAGGGGCCCACTGACACGCAACGACAATAACAAACGTGACATAATGCTTTCATGGCGTTTCTTTTCACTGGAAATGATAGCCGTCAATTATCAGAAGCGACTTGGTCTACTGACTCCTCGCCCGATCGCGGCCCGCCGAACCAACGCTGACCATATGGCATGCAATTTCCCCGTAAGACCGCCCGTGTTTGCCGTGCAAGTGTGTTGTGTGAGCTAGAGGTTCCCCGCGTAATAGGCAAAAAGGACTGGACCATATTTGCTATACAGGAACGCTGGCAAGTAATGGCAAATGAAAAGAAAACAAGACGAAATAGCTTCGCATTTATTCTGGAGTGAAATTTATGATGGATGATTACGCAGTGTTGTCGTTAATGCGCCGTGCAGGGAGAGCAGAGAGGTCCTGAATGGATGCCAGCGAGGAGGCCGACTACATCCGTGGAGCAAACTGCAGAAAAAAAACTGACAAAACCGTCCGCTGTTCTTTAATATTGCCCAGCCTGTGGCCATGGACAATTGTGGGGGAAATGCTAACAGATTCGGGCGCAGTTGGAAACACTTTTCAGGTTGCTTGATTTTTTTCTCGTTGCCTGCTGGGCCTCTTGAAAATCGAGAAGATTGTCGGAAGTGGTCCTCATGCAAGACTGGAGTTAGAGAGAGACTAATCCCACTCATTTTCGCATCCCCATTTTGATTGATATTCCTAACTAATTTCGGGGTGGTTCTTTGTTTGCTGCGACTGTGTACTCAAGATTTTAAAGAAGTCTATCAACAATATCGAAATTTTCAGAAAACAAACTGTGTTGTCGTACGAAAGAGAAAATTCAAACGTCAACCGGAAGCGTCAATGTCTGAAGAGGCAAAAGGACATTTGAAATGTCGATCCAACCATACAGACGTACAATACAGACAAATCCAACGTTGTAAAAAATTACAAAAATTCGCACACCGTTCACAGTAAAATTATGGACGAATCAAACTATTGTGATGTGCCTAACACAGCAACAAGCTGTAAATGTGAGTGATGTCAAGAGCTCTTTACCCAAAACGTAACCACAGCATGAAGAACTGACGACGGTAAAACGGTAGATGCCTGAGTAGGATCGGAAGGTGTAAGCTGGAACGTTGTTACGCTTCGGGCTCAATAGTCAAGTGCGATTTCCGATATCTGTCAAAGCTCTCACAAACAACTAGGACGCCTCGTATAATGAGACTAGTTGGGCGTCTGATTTAATCTGTGCCATATTGATTCGGGTTTATGCAAGTGTTGAATGTTAGATGCACTCAGAAGGACTCATAATTATGTTCCACGAATACATCATTCAGATTTCAAACTGACATTTCGAACCCAAATCGTAAATTATTTCTGAATAGGGAGACATGTTCAGGGTCTTTCGAAACTAGTCATTTTCTTAAAAACTGTTGGTGTCGGACCAAGAAACTGATTGGTACCAGATCAATTACATTTATCAGGAAAACTGGAGATATTTTCCAGTTTATGTGGAGTATCGACAAGTTGAACAAAATCTGAATAAATATCTTTCTTCTACAGAAAAGAAACGGGCTGAAATTCCCACCAATATTTCAGACAGAGTTTCATCTGTCAATGGTTTTGTGCAGTCATGCTGTCGTGCTGTCGCTTAGGAGGAAACCTTAGTTATTGTGCAAACATAACTGGGGCTCTCTGTAAATGGAGAAAACCATTTTTTAATTAAAATAATGTTTACACATTCTGTACCTACATGTAGTCAATCGCATTTAGATAATGTTGGCGGCGCTTTCCTCATTGTCCACTGGAAAATGACGTAACAGCATGAAAACCTTCCGAGGAGTAATCTCGAATGCACCGTTCCCGTTTGCTCCAATGGCAACTCAGTTTGTCATGTTTGTTGTTAAATGTTCTCCATCATAAACACGAGCTTCTGTGCGCATGCGCTTGGTGCCCAAGCAAACTTTCAGACATGAAGCGGTCTGGTATAGATCAAAGACAATGAAATTTACTTGGCCGTACATCATGAAAAATGACAAGCAGTGTTCGGTTTCACAATTTTTATTTGTCTTCAATTTTCGGCGAGTACTCTGAGTGTTTTAGGGTTATGGGGCAATGCCTATGGAAAGCATTTCCAAACAGAGGTTGACAGGTTTTTGCCATTCATTTTTGAGAGGAATGCCGAAACGATTTAATCGATAAATTATTTTTCCAGCAGGTGCAGTGTCGGAGGTTGTGGCGGTGGGGGTGCTTGCCAGAAATGAAATACTTCTAAACAAAACATTGATTTTTCTCCTTCCAACCGAACACTGTTATTAAGATGTCAAACATTATTTGATACACTTTCAGAAGTGGCATTTACAGTTAATCTTGGTAGATTTGGGAATGAACGATTTGATTTTATCATATTAACTTCAGAATAACCTTAGCGAGAGTTGCAAAATTTGAAGTCAGAAGGAACAGACATATTCAAAGTTATTTTCTGAAACCAGTGGGCACGTTATACCCACAATTGTTCGAATACATTTTTTTCAACCAAAGTTCCGTTCGGAAGTTGGATGTCATTTTAGTAGCAAAATAGGCCAAATACTAGTGAGCATGGAGCAATCCTTGTGGCTTAGTTTTTCCGAGTAAGCTCCAATTATTAAGGAAAGGACGACATCACCTTTTGCAAAAGTGGCCAGGAGGTCGGCAATGAAACACTTAAAATGTGCATGAGTTCTTTTTTGTAAACTCATTACTCAAAAATTGCCAAGAGTTTTTATGAGTAGCGGGTAAGCACCATTCAGGTTGTTTCTTACATTCTTGACACAATAATGCACTGTTTAGAACTAGAAAGAGTGCCCTTGATGAAAGAGTCTTTAGTAATAAAATCGAAGTCCGTGGCTTTGACAGGGAGTGTACGGTGGGTATGCCCAGCGTGGATTGTGGGTATTGCACCCCGTGTCGTTCCCGCTGCGCATCAGCTGTCATCGCTTCGAAATCATCTCGCTGTGATGGAGTTTGTTCGGAGTGTTAGACGCAAAGCACAAGCCTGTACAATCATCATTCTTGCCGCTGCAAAATACTCCGATGAAAGATGAACAATTCTCAACTCTTTGTCCGCAAAATATGTAAAACTGTCAACTGATTACTTGAGTGGGTCGTAATGATGATATATCCTTGATTCTTTCCAACTGCATATCCACGATAGAAAGATCGGTTTTGGTTTTGTACAATTGGCTTTGATCTGCGGGTAAGTTTGTTTATTTATTTTCTTGTTCGGAACAACCTCTCGAATATATATCAAACTATAGCCTAATGCTGAAAGCCCTGGCAGAAGGTTTCCGACAGAAACTTCCCGCCCAAACATTTCGCAAATTTGTATTGAGGAAAGTGAAGGACTTGCAAACATCGTTACAATGTGGAGCCTTTGATCCATATTTTTACTAATGATGTCATCGTCGATTCTTTTCGTCTTGACTTAGTCTGGTTCCATTCTATGCAAATACAGCATTAAATAGAACAGGGAAAAGATGACAGGAAAATGAAATATCCACAAATAGAGCAGCGTAGAGTCTATTATGTTTGCCTTTTATAAGGTGCCTCTTAAAACACGAATTTCTTGCTTTCTGTAGCAACTTTTAGACAGACAATGTCGTCACTGTAATCTCCGGATTTTCCAGGCTTTAGAATCCTGATGAAACATCCTGAAATCAGGAAATATCCGATGACAAATCCTGCAATCAAGAAATATCCTGACAAATTTCACTCTTGAGAGAAGATTCAGTTCATTCCAGTGTCATTGTCTGTAGCCTCATTTCGTCCGTATACTGTTATGTGTTTTTTCAATAACTTGTCTGTTAAAAATTGGATTTTCAAGCCAACGTTAGCTTACTAAAACAACAAAACATCAAAAATGTGCAATGTTTTACACGTGGTCGCACAATAGCACACTTGATTTAAAGTCCCGAAACCACCTTCTTTTTTATGCGCTTATGCATCTGTGTTGGCTTTGGTATGATCACAATATCAATTGCATAGGCCTACTCATAACATGAATGATATGGAAATGTATATGGCAATGCGCACTATGTGGGAATAGTCACACGCTGGTTGCCAATATACAAGTATGCGTGACATAATTATGTGCATGGTATCTTTCCTACATACAAGTTGCTTGGTGTTATAGGTGTCTCTGCAGTGGTCACACGACATACGTGGCCCGACTTAACATTTCGAAAGACCTTACTTTCGTCGGGGGCACAGTGCATGGACCTTTGAAGTTTCCTTGCGGTCGACAGCAGCACATAGGTTCTGTTTGTTTATTAACAAATGTTTATTTACTATTCTGGACTGGTTCAATTATGCAAAGCAGGCGTGAAGTGGCGTGGATCTTCAGGCCTCCGTGCGAGAGCGTAACCATAGCCACTCGAGCGGCGCAAACCGACTGTCATCATTCGACTATAGCTCCATGATCCGACCACGCCGAAGACACCGACTTGATGATATTTCGAGTGAAATTGATCAGAATAAAAACACAACCCATGCAGATTTCCGTCTGCCATTGGTCACAGCGGGCATTCCAGGCATACCGTCTTGCCTTATTTGGATCGGTGGGCGTGGCTTGTGACGCTGCCTCGCTGCTGTGGTTTTCCTTAGGGTCGAGACCATGTGGGATTGCAGCCAGCTATCTACGGGGAATCGAGTCCTCGGGGAAAGCGGTGCGTATGTACGCTCAACAACCAGCACTTGATGGGAACAAAAGGGATTCTCTCGAGACAGTCCCAACCCCCACCAGAAGTCAGATTGCCTGCGCTGTGCACAATCTATATCGTGGCTGTCCGTCTGCACACTGTGTGGCAGTGTGTGTCATGAACACACGTTGTGGGTTACTCACGTGGGCCAACGCATAATAGGCGCTCAGTCACACGTTGCACGGACGCTTGAATTTTCTCCGATGAAGGGTCGGTTCATTCACATTGGGTCGTGCACTATCAAATCATCAACATTGTATTAATATAAATATATATTTTCTCGGTCAGTGTACATATACACACGGTGGTGGTAACAAGTCCACCGGTATACACCCTTCCTCCTTGAGTAAGCCCACCCTAAGTATATGACACCTGTACGGTGGTTAAAGCGACCAGACAGTGCCGACTAGGGGATGCATGTAAGACGTGCCAGTTTCCAGTCACGATCGTGCAAGTTTCTCACTTACCGTAGCGATTCCCCACTTGCCGGACGAATGATGATAAGACAAGGTGTCCCACTCACACTGTGAACTCTGCCGTGTACTGTCAAGCGCTGAAGTCATTCAACCCCAGGAGAAGTGATAGCTGAGCTTAGTTGAGTCTCAGAAACTGAGCCACGCGCCCTCACGCCGTCATCTTTTGACCTGGCCTGTACCGGCTCACTGCTCCGCATCATCCCTGGATAGTTTGCCCCTCTCCCCCCTTGTCCCCCTTGTCCCCCGTCTCGCACTCCACCAGTACGCCGACATAGTGTGTGTTACTATTAACACCAACTTCTCACAACTCCAACGCCGATCAGGACCAGCGGGTATCTCCCTGGCTGTGTTTCTGCTTGGCTACGGTACATCTCCAAGTGGTCGTTCATGTTTGGAATCCAAGACTCCCTCACAAGAGGCACAACAAACCTCAAAGAAGAACCCACTGGGACAGCTCAAGTAGGATCCATACGTAGTTGGATGCAGCCGAGCATGGTGGAACAAGGATCCAGGTAAACTCACCTGTCTTTCTCCGGACAGTTTTATTGTCTTCTATGTTCTAATTCCCAGCACCCCTTTTTTCCTCTAGTCTTGCCACTCGCTCCACATTTTTGTCAGGTACTCCTGGGATACCGAGTGTCTGGAGGAAAATAGATTTTGATGTCACTGTTCCCTTTCGGTTTGTCAATTCTGGTCGCAACACATAGCTCAGACGAGCACGTAGCTTCAGTTGTGTCGCTCACCGTGCGGACGGCGTGCGTGCTTGGCCGTCCTGTTTTCGCGATGATCCCGTGCGCTATCGCGAACCGATTACCGAAGGGAAAACATATTTACCCAGGCGACCGGTTGCCAAGTCCTTGGGACCGGGTGAGGTAAGACCCCCGACTTAGGCCTGGGACTTAGGTCACTAACTCTCGGTAATTTCCCCTTCCGCACTTTCTTCCCGACGTGTGTTCATGTAAGTCTACTGTGTGGACTTTTTCCCAACTTGCGTTTTTTTCTTATTCGTTGGTGTGTAGCTCCTGTGGGCTGGCTAGGGCACACTTCGAGAAACAACCGCCCAGTAATCTGCGAAAGAGCAATTTCTTTCATTTTGTCATCGCTCTGTATGACCGTGCTGGACAACCAGTGGAGATAGAGCGAACACAATTCATCGATTTCATCGAGAAAGAGAGGGTAAGTTCAGTACTTCAAAAAAACTTAGTCCACCGTCTTGGATGATATTCAGTCGGCCTAGATAGAGCTCACATTCATAACACGCATGCGAGAGAGGCCAAAGTCTGTGTACACAAACGTCACAACCGAAACCAAATCTCATTTTTGAATTCCATTCACCTGTCGATTGCACTGCCTATCAAGACCAATCAAGACCATAGGTTTATCCTCTCTTAATATCCAAACCACGCACGATAATCAAGAATTTCGTGCGCAGGTAGCATGCACACTGGCTGGCTACTCTATCTGTCTCGCCTCACCTTGCGCCTTGGTCTCGACGCAATGCCTGGGTAGACCCGCTCGACAACACGCACTGCAAATTTATGAAAAATTCCCCCGTCCAAGGACTTTCGCGTGTGGGTCGGCGAGTTTGCGATCTTTCGATCTGCAGTCTCGTCTCGAGACTAATAATCGCCAATATTTGGCAGCTGTGAGGACAGGCCAGCGGGCATGTCGATAATGCTGTCCGTTACGGCTACTCGGCCTGTTCCGTTACCCCTAAATTAATTTTCCTCGCTCGGAAACACGAATCCTTGATTCGTGGATGTTCATCTTCCCTTAATTCCCTCGTTTCGTTGCAGGAACCAGACAGTGCTAAAACGAACAATGGAATCCACTACAGATTACAACTTCTCTACAATAACGGTACGTTTCGCACTATTTTTGCCATAGAATAATGATTATCACATTCTTTTGTGGAAATTCGCTTGATTATAATGTTTTAGACTATAGCTTTATGTAATTTGAACCCATAGTCTAGGTCGTATTGTTCTTAATTCTGAACATGATGTTTAATTTGGAAAGTCTCGGATTTCGAACATTTAATATGAATAAAAATAAAACAAAAAAATCAAAGCGTCAAAAACCTCAAATATGGAAGAAATATCAGCATATTGGTTTATAATTATGTTTAGTACGTCACATCTTGAGAGAGACAGTTATGATAGAAAGGAAACATACTAAAGAATCATGGATGGAGTATGATGTCATTTGCAATCGCTTAGATCATACTCTGTCATCTGTCGATGATGCTCAGCAAACAGGAAGCAGTATTGAGGAATCAAGGCTTTTTCATTTCCTCTCAGTCATAGTTCGAGATTCCCTGTCTGACTACCATGTAGCGCATACTGACAATCAAATCATGCACCGAGCGTGGCCAGCTGTTATTCAATTTACAGGCGAATGGGCCCCCATCTCTCTTCAAAATAGGATTAGTAAAACACCGATACAACCACATTCAAGGGTATACTCTAGAGTGAACACGTTCATCATACACACAGTGGTTATGTCGTGCACTTTGGACAGCATAAGAAACTGCCGATTTTTTCCCCTCTGTTTTACTGAAGAAGGCGTTTACCGCTCCGGGAAAACAATCGCCTAAGCGTAAATCTCCCGCATGGCCTCCGGGCCGCGAGCCGCTCGTGTACGGCAAGCGTCACTCTGTCCGTACGCTGACCTGCCGCTTATACTAAACAGCAACTCAAAACCCAAAAAATGCAGTACATGTGATATGCTTATTTTAATAAGTGCACCTCAGTGCAAGTGGCGAGGCCACGAGATTGGATTGTAGTCGACGCTTGACTGCACTCGTTATCATATCTGATGTGGAAGGCGCATTACTACTGATTAGAAAGATCAAACTACCATTAGTAGATTGAAGCTATGGATACAAATGCTGGAAGACCCAGAAACAATTAAATATTCAATTAATTCCCATAGTGTTTGCAAAAAACACACTACTGTAGGGCCTACAGTCAAACGGCTTTCTGTATAAGTTTTGGTTGTGCCCTTTCTGTCCCAAGCCTTGTTTGTAACATATCACTTAGTCACTTTCGTCATTTTTTGGGTCAGATCAATGACTTGTTATGTGGAAGAGGCAATGTTAACAAATCTGACTATGCCGTGCACTTGTTGTATATATTTACCCTGATTTCTCAAATCAGCGACCGGAAGTTTCGAGAAACACACTGTCAACAAGTAAGCATGGGAAGAAATTATTCGTAAAACTGTCTCGTTAATATCAAGCTGGTCAAAAGAAAGTGATCCTTAAATATTAATTAAGGTAATAAAAATACATAAACTCAAACATATAATCATAACCGAAAGTTATGCCGTTATGACTTTTATTAGATAATGACTCCTCTTTTAAACATAGGTGCCAGGACGGAGCAGGATTTGTACGTCCGACTCATCGATTCCATGACAAAACAGGTAAGAACCAGACACCTTGTGGGCATATGCGCATGCTTCGGTTTAGTTCCAGTGCCTATCTGGCAGCACAATGCAACACGTTGGACCAATCACTGGCCTTCTTATGATTCAAACACATAAACCAGCGTTCCAGTTGGATAAATGGATGTATTCTCTTGGTGATGTTTGTCATGGAGACAAAACCGCGTGACTGTATAGGTCCCTTGGTGTCTTTGAACACAAGCAATAGTATGAATGATTAAACCCAATGTTGAATGTGACGAGAGAGATGTTGGAAGCTGAATGTTGAAAGTTTGTTGATTCAGTTTGGTGATTTCTGATGTTTGGTGAAATTTTGTTGTGTATTAAAAAGTTACCAATATATTCTGCGTCGAAAATTTGCATAAAAGGCGATGCCACTTTTGAAATAATACTTTCGTGCCAGGTATCAACGGTGTAAATTACGTTAAATGGAACACATCTGTGTTGTGTTAAATTCCTGGTTACTTTTAAGCATTGGGGGAAAATGTTAAGGAGTTTTATCTGAATATTCCATGACGAATAGTCTAAGGGGACCATGCCATTTTTTTCATGCGAAGTGCCAGAACTTCCCCCACTTCACCATCGCGAGTTAGCTTAATCCTGCCCTCCGTTTCAATCGCTCATCACACGGTGTAAAGCCTCACAGTCCATGGGGGTGCACTGTTTGCTCGCACACACTGCAACTCAACTGCGGTTAAGAAGGTCTCAGTACCCCGAATCGATATATAATTAGATGTTAAACAACTTGAGTTTTTAAATAGACACTTTCACAACGGTATCCTGTGTGGACAGGATGAAGTTTACTGCCTCCTTACGAGCTACTAATCAATTGGCTTTCTCATCTTTTGTGTGGAGCTTTGTCAGTTTAAACGCTTATGTAGGTACTCAGTGGTTATAGGGCTAAAGTCCCACTGCGTACACTCGCTCTCTGTTGCGTCGTTAACGGCAGTGTTCCTCGACCCTGCGGCTCGTGTATCTACACGCACTTGTATCTCGCCTACGGTGGGCTTTGGATAGAAAGGCGCCAGAACCTCCAAGGATCATGACACAACTTAATGTAATCTTTGCTCGGAGTAGTTTGGCAATACTACCCCACAATCGTTTAGAAGTAGTAAACGCGCGTCGGAAATAGGTATTATCTCAGGCAACTAACTTGTCCAAGTTTTGAGCAAACGTGTCACGGCAGGGGTGATGTGCCCCTATGAATTCATAAACGTCATCGCCACAAATTTATTTTCATTTCATTAATTGAATTATTATTACACTTTAAGCTGAAACCCATAAAGGTGAAAGTCACCTGTTTGTATTTAGGTTTGTTGAATAGCGGAAAACTTACCTTACAGTTGTTTTGCTGTGTTTTCTTTGCACTGTGTTCATCGAAAAGTTTAGGAACTTCGTCAACAAAACTTTCAGCTCGCTTATTATTTGGGAAGTTTGCGACATTAAAGTGAACCATTGTCTAGGGAGGATTTTAAGAAATTACACGAAGGCCAACATTTTACAGTAAGATGTGAGTTAACGTTTCTTCTATACGTTAAAAGTAAACTTCTCCGTCGCATCTTGCTTAGGTCGTGGTCCGTTAACAAAAGAGAATGTTTGGAATGCTTGTGGAAACAGTTTTTCCCAAAGATCGTGGAAATCGCTAATAATCCCTGTGGTATCTTTCTTTGGTTACTTAAAATCGAAATTTCGAAAGGGATTTAAAAAATGATTTTGAAGTACTAGGCTTTTGTGTACCGTTGGATATCCTTGTGGAAGTCAGTGGTTACACTCAGTGCTCACCGATATGCGTTCGTTTCTGACATTGCCAACGTTTAATGTTTGCTTGTCAGTCTTCCCGCTGTTGTCTGTATCATCCAAATTTATACTCACAACATATCCATTTTCCCATCATTGTCAGCACCGTCATTACAATCATCACAGTCAGTGTGTCTACCTCACGTCTCGTCAAGACTGTTATTACTACAACAGTGCATCACGCACGGTAAACAGCTATTTCAATTTGGCGCTCCACACTACCAATTACTTGAGAGACACGCGCTAATACCAATACTCCCGAGATGGTTCCCCGCCTTCTCTGGGGTCCAATTCCACAAGAAATTGGCCGGTAAACCAGTTAACGAATCTTCAGAGACCAATCGCACGCGTTACGTCATTATGGTTTCTTAGGCGAGACGCGAGCGGAGTCGCGGAAATCCCCCGTCCGTGTTGTCGTAATTATACCCACCGCGGCTCACCGAATCGTCCGGGGAAAAAGGTACAAGTCGCCCGGGCGCATGGGGATGTTCATCGCGGTCGACTTAATCGTCAGAGAATGAATTGGGGGAGAAAAATCATCAAATGCGACAATGACTTGATCTGTCAAGTTCACGTTTGCGTTATTAAGTGAAATTATAGACATACATTTTTGTCAATTTGTCTGATTTTTTAGCAGAATGATTAGGTTGATTTCTACAATTTTTTTTAGTGGTAGCACCTATTTGTTACCAAGTTCCTTTTCGTTGTTTTTTTCGCAACGTGCATTCGCTCCACAGAAAGTCTCACAGCGACGACATGATTGCAAATGAAACGAATATCATAAATCTGCTCTTTACATAACCAAACTCAAATCATAAAGAAAAGAAAGATTGCCTTCATGTAATTAACCAAAGTGTACTACCAGTTAACCAAAATGACCTACGTCCTGGTACACAAACTATAAAGTTAGAGCTGAATTCATTGAAGTCACTCAACAATTTCGCAGAATTCTGAAATTATTATTTCGACTGAAGTAAATACATGCAGCCCAATATATCTGCTCGGCGGTTTCATGCACGTACATGTACATGTACATGTATGCAAGCCACGGGTGAGGTCACAATGGTCGAATTTACACGCAGTTTCACCGCCATTTGCCAACGCTAAGTCTGCTTTGCTATCACCATATAAATGCATGATGCCACGGGTTTCATAAAACATTAATGCGACTTTCGCAGCTTGCACGGAGAGGTGAACTGCAAATGCGACAATGTCCTAATAAATATAGAAATTGCAAAAAATGAACCTGTTTTGATTAATGCTGTTTTCTTGATTAATACGTTTTCGTTCGGGAAAATTTCAGTTTATACTAGAGATGAAATGAAAATGCAGTTGGGAAACTTTGAAATGATTTGTTTGTTAAAATTTTTTTTCATCCTCTTCTCGAACAAATTTCACACAATGTCTGTGTCTTGCGTTTCCCAGTGCCACGTCGACGACAGTATCATATTATGACCAAGAAAAATGAATATTTCTAACAAGCGTGTTTGCAAGGAAAACAAACACCTTGGTATCAGTGTTATTGGTGCTGTGAAAGTAGTTATAAAATTTCCTGTGGATATTGAGCTGTCCTGGGGTTGCTGTTGTAGTGAACAATATCAAGGCACGCACTCTGGCATGAGGCCTGAGGGCCAGCTACATAGTTAGTATCTACGCTCTTTCTTCATTTTTGGGCTTGCAATTTTCAATGCAGTCTGATGCAGTTAAAGACAGTTGAACTGAAGTTTCGAGTGAAAACATGCAGGGTCAAGTTTCCTTGTCAAAAACTCACCGAAATCGACTTGAGGAAGTGACTCAATTTTGATTATAACAATGGTAGTATGAGCGAGGTGGTTGGTTGGGGCAGAGTTGGTGATTATATCGAGATGGGAATTTTAAAATCAAAATTGGTACCATCCAAAAATTTGTAACGGCACATGGAACTCTGGTTACATGTCTGGCTGATCAAAACCTTCAAATTAATTGTGCTAGGGTAGTATATAGTCAATCTGCCGTGAATACCTTAATTTTTACTAATAGAGTACCAAAGTGACTACGTCACGCGCACAGTTGGGTGTGTAAAAGGCATTTGAGAGAGAATCAGCGCGTGAACTAACGTTAGCACGTACTCCATTCGTTTGCACTACACTTTCTGGCTCATAGTGACGTCACACTCTGGTACCTTATACCTTGAAATGAACTCCATTTCGCTATATTACTGCCGAGGTAGCCACTGTGATCTTTGTAACAACTATCAGTCCCATAACTGGTACCCTCTCAGTATAATGAGCTGTAAATTGTAGAAATGAAATTGTGCAGCCTATAGCGAGGCAAAAGAACACAGTGTCACGGCCAAATGTCAAAGGCGGAGAAAATGTGAGGGCTCATGAAACATTTGAACTTGTACTTCCTCCAAGAAAATCTGTTTTGAAACTCTGAGTTCCAGGGTATGTTGGACATTATCAATGATTTTCTTTAATAAACGTGAGTATTTTTATAAGAATTCGTTTTGCATCATCAACGTAAATGGAATGACGATCTAACAAATAAGGCTTAAGTGACTAACAAGCATTAAATTTCCTCTCACTTTCAGGATAAGTCATTACAATGACTTTACACTGAAATCGAAGACCCTTCCCCTTATAAGACATTATTTGCTGGGTTTGTCATGCACCTGTCCAAAGTCAATTAGCTATCTCGTGCCAATATCGCACAGCGCGTGCTTCCTGCTGATTGGTCAAAAGTTATCTGTCTTAGGTAAGATTTGATTGGCTATCCGGCTTTGAGTAAAAATAATTATGAAAAACACTTTGATGGCTGTCTCCTACTTTGTTATATCATTTTATTTTGTTGATTTCCCCTTTGTCGGTTGATCGTCATGTGATTTGTAAATCAACATCTATTTGGTCTAATTTACTGAATGCCTCGATGTTTTCTGACCAATCACCGGCCACCTTGGAGCGATCACTCGAAAATATACACCACGCCAGAATTCTGACGACGCAATGCAACTTGTGACCGTTCGTGTGTCAACAATTCAATGAAACAGTGCATTTTCGGGTGGAGATGAAACAGATTCACAAATATCGGAAGTCTACAATTTCAGGAAACATTTGTGGTCTGTATTTGCTGCAAAATCTTGAATATTTAGGCTAAATTAAAGAATCGGTTGTCCGCATTTCTGTTTCTAATTTGAGTGGAGCTTTTCTTGCTTATTTTGGTCTGGTACCCTTTCCATGGTCACGTTTGTTTTTAAGCCGATAACATCGTGTCGTAAAGATGTGCTCGCTAGCTGCCTAGATTTTTCAGGAACTCGTTTTGGAAACTTGTTAGGATGAAAATTCCCAGTGGTAGCGTTCAATTTATTTCAGTAATGTTTAATTTTTCCTGAAGTCCATTGATAAATGTTGTATTCAAAGTTAATATCGACATGCTTACTTACAAAATTCAAACAAAGGCCTTCCAAAAAATAGAAAGGAAATCTTTGGACAGCAATGTCACCGTGACGAAGAAAGACAAAAGTCAAAAGTTTTAGTTTATTGAATATTTCGTAAAACAATCTTGTTAGTGATATCGAGCCTCCTTTATTTCCTCCACAAAACTGTCAGACCTTCAGCCCTAACACACCTTATAAAACTGACCCCGGTAAGCTGAAAGTAACCTGCAACATTGTCCACATGTTAGTTGAATGACACTTTTCTGGTTAATGAACATGTAGGAAGGTCAATTTAAGTGGTGTTTTGCTGAGAAATTTAAGATTGATACCAATTTTGGCAATTGACGACAAACATGTTACATTAGATTGTTAGATTGCCATTGAAATATTTAAAATTGTTTTTAAAACTCAACTCCAAAAGGTCACATACAGAAATTCATGGTTAGAAGAGATAACATTAAGAATTCAAGTCTTGCACAGCAAATTAAAATAAATACCACAAACTAAATTCACAGCAAATGGTACATAGAAAGAGCTATCATCACAGAATTTTACTGTATCGCGAATTTAACTGGGGAAAAAGTTGATGTAAATCAAAATGAAACATTGAAAGGCATTTAAAATGAATATACATTAAAATGGATGACTTGTGTTCTGCTTGCCATCAGATCTGCCCAGTCAAACCCATGAATAAATTAATGTAAGTGCTTCATCAAAAGGCATTATACTTGCAACTCTTGGTATATCTAAGGATCAGTGTTAAGATTTATTCATCCAGGCTGTTTTGAACATCCTTTAAATAAGGAGACCATTTGTTCGGAAAATGTCTTGGAATAAAATGATGCATGGTTCCAAACGGAGACGTTGCATCGTAAATTTGGTAATAATTAAACTCTTACTTGTGTTGGAGAACAAAAGAATCCCATAGAATGGGCAGTCAACACAAGTTACTTTCAGTTTTATTTTCCAAGTTTATTTTCCATGTTAGTTCATTAACGTGAAATTGGAATGTACATGTGTATACCTGAAGCAGCATTAATTGGGCAATGTGTGAGTGTGCAGTGTGGCTAGAACAAGGACAGTAACACTATGGTGTAAGATATCGCGGTCTGGTTTCCGCACTGCGTGCATGGTGGGATGCACATTCATGATGGATTAAAGGTCTCATGGATCTGACTGATCCCTGGCTGTAGATGCTATACAGCACTTGGCATGTGAGGAGTTTACTCGCCAGAGTCATCTGACCCGTACACCGACTGGCGACCCTAAGACAGATCAGATCAGAGGGATCTTATTGTACAGAGAGAAGCATTTAATGGGTAGCAGTATGTTCATTGAGCAAAATCATGGAAATGTATGAGCTATGCATGATTAAATTGGCTGAATCAAATTTGGGAACTTGTGATGGAAATTAAACATTTGTTTGTAGTCTTCTCGTAGTCATGTGAGTGCTGCACTTCATTTGTAAAAATTTACTATCGGAGTTCCTCCAATGACCTGAGGATTTACTTGCATTTATCATTCTATATTTTCAGAGATTGCATGATTTATTATTTATCCATCTGCTGCTGCAAACATTCATGCCACATTTGTCAATTTTTAAAAAAGTTTTTGTGGGGGAGCAGACAAGCGTGGCTGCAGAAAAATTCCCTCTTATTTAGATTTCACAGGAAAGTTGCGTAACGATAGCATTCAAGCTGCTCATTGATAACCTTTTGGAGATTTATACTGAATTCCTAACAAGTGGAAGTGTTCATGTATTAAGTAGTTTAAGTGGAACTATTTTGTTTCAGTCTGTGAAATGACTACATCGTTGAAATACCTTGAAAATTACCCTGAAGGTAGCTAACCAGACTGTGCTGGTTTTTTTTTTTTAGAAAAAGCCCAATTGACTGCATAGAAAATTGATTAACCTGCACTCCCATCTACATATGAAATGAAAGATGGATCACTCTCAGAGCTTTTTAAAATTGTGTTCTTGATCAGAAATTAACATACTGTATTTTGTCTTATTGTTCCCCAAACAGGCAATAACCTACGAAGGACAAGACAAAAACCCAGAGATGTGTAGGGTTCTTTTAACCCATGAAATAATGTGCAGGTAAGGATTTGAATAGGGCATCCGCATTCTGTTAAAATTCATTCCATCCCCTCTCCAAAAAATTTGAAGCAGAGGAAGGATTGGTGAGTAAGCCTGGCTGTTTAGCCGTCGGATAAGGGAAAGTCCCTGTACAGCTTTGGAAAAGCCAACTTGTTAGAGAAAATGGGATGGTGTGGGTAGGACTCTTTTAAAGCTTTGAAATTGCATGTATAAGGGTACAGACTACGGTACAAATTGTATGCATGTATGGGTTATCTTTTTATGTTGTGATTCTAAGGTGAAGATTTTGCTTGCTTGTGATCTTTTTCTGGCAAATTGTATTTGTGATGTATTTATGCAACTCCCAGAGGAGGGGTAGTACACTCTCAGTCTATGGCTTGGTTCCTTGATAGAAGTTTCAACCCTAAAGAGGGACAGGGGAACCAGACCTCAGTAATGGGATCCAAATAGCTTGTCAAGCACCCACCAGATTTGTTTGATTTTCTCATCACTGCCTGTCGTTGTTGGACACTGCCTTGGAAGAGTCAGAGAACACAAGTGAAGGGGCTTCGTTTGTTCGATTTTCTACCTAGCTTTTTTTTTGTGCTGAATAATTCACGGGGCGCTCTATATGTGTGCACGTTGCCACTGTACTTGACCCGGTAGTCTGCTTGTGCTGTGTACTGGACTCTCCACTGTGCACCAAGCAAGCAACCACTAGAGATTGCATCCTAGCTTGTCTGATGGCAGAAGGCGGGAGGAGTGTACAAGATGTGGCATCTCCATCACCGGGAGGACCCAGAAGAAGCCCCTCGGGAGACACTCCCGAGGTGTCTCTGCGTGAAAAGAGCATGGTTCTGTCTGCGCTTCATTGGAACCAGAAGAGGTTCTTTCTTGCTGTTCTCTCTGCGTCCCAAGCGGATGCGAGCAAGCCGTTGTTTGTTGGGACTGCACAAACTTTTGGGTGATTAACCTGTACAACAGCTGAAGGAGAGGGGGGAGTGTTGCATCTCCTTAATGTAAGCTGGAAAATGGGTGGTTTGACAGACTCGACTTCATGCTCTATTTGTTTCCATTGACGACAGATAGGTACTCATAACTTTGAAGGAAAAATGAGAGATGCTCAGAAAGTAAGTCTCACGGAAAATGGGGAGTGACAACTGCTCCAAAAAAAACATGTAGAATGTTTGGAGAGGTACAACAGAGAGCTAACTTGTTAGCATTGCAAATTTGCCCTGTCAAAATGTGGCCTCTTTATTCACATCTGAATCTTCTTGTTCAAATACAGTTAAGAAAAGAACACAGTTGTATTTGCCCAGTTGCTCTTTTGAATCTGCAGAGCATTGACATTTTCATCTTTCCAAATCAAATGCCATTTCCAAGAGCAAATATCATGCATACTTCAGGTCCCACCGCAGTTTTTCAGCTCAGAATGTAAACCTGTTATTTTAAAGATGATGACGTTGCCACATAACAAAGTTGAGTGCAGAGTACAGATGGCACCCTTTGTTCTTTTATCAAGATGAAAAAGAGATTATGTAATGTTTCCAATTCACCTGTCCTCAATAACGTGATTGGAAAATGCAAGTCTTGGCAAGGAGCTTATAACGCTCAATTTGTGTCATCTTTAAAGATCAATTGAATGTCGCTATCGCTACAAAGCATCATCAGTGCTGGCATCTCCTACATCCTAACCAAGCATATCAGGACACTGATAACAATCTGTACATCACGATGATTGCTTTAAGCTTGCCTATCATATTTTATTATCGACCATTCAAGTGGCAATCCAATATCCATTTTGTCGTGGGTGCGTGGGGTGAAAGTATCTAATCCTGGGATGCTGTTTCTCGCCTCGAGACCAGAACGCGATTAAGAAGCTTAAAGCTGTGCTTATAAAAAACAAAGAAGTAATCTCTTGAATGAAACCAGCCACAAAAAAACAAAAAAACAAAACAAAAAAATACGCAAGGAGCTGCATTAGCAATAAGGAAATGTACACTCACATACAGAATCAGTGAATACGCACAGTTAATACCGGCTGCAGGCTAAATTTTCGGGACAAAAATAAGTTCTCTGAATAGGGGTTTAGTGAAGTTAAAGGCGAAAATGGATGCCTTGTGATAAGTCAGTCAGCTTTTTTTGTAATTAGTAATGTCAATGGCAAGTACTACTTATAGTTGGAAATGTCCCGAGATGAGAGGTTTGGAATGAAAAGCCTGGTTTTAAATTCTTTATCCTTTTAACTTGCTTTGTCACCCTTTCACATGGCTCCCTTTTACAAATATCAACCTTCTACATGGCTCCACAGTGCAAAATAAAACATTTAAAGTAAGAGTCCCGAAGTTTAATTTGCTCTGGTTACACTTAATGGTCAAATTTGTGATGCAACGGGAGGAAATCTAGAAATTCTCAATTTTGTAGAAGTAGGGCTGGGTAAATTTGAATAATTCACTATTTTACCTTCAATTCGATTGAATATCTGAATATTTGGTTGTACTTACTGGCAGATTGTTGATGAACAAACCATATATATACAAAATCAGTTGCAATAATGCATACTATTGTACATCATGATCAATTTAATAGCTTCTCCCATCTTGGAGTATCTCCAGCCATGATTTAGCAAGATTTAAGAGATGAACAATACTTCTTGCACTGTTGAAAATTTCTATACCTTTTGAATTGTTTAATGAATAATTTACTTTTTACATTTGTTAAAGGTTTCTGTTACTTTTCATTTGAAGCTGGTTGAAACAAGCCTCCATAGTGCAATTTTTCTCATTTAAACCAAAAGATAAATTTCCCTTTTCATGATTGTAGCATTTGAATATTCAAATTCGGAGAATAATATTTGAATATTGAATAATCGGATAAATGAATAAATTGGATATTCAGCACAGCCCTATGTAGAATGTGGGTAGTGAAATAAGGTAACATGTGTGGTAAAATTGTCTTTCCTGTATCCAGTCGTTGCTGTGACAAAAAGAGTTGTGGAAACCGAAATGAAACGCCATCAGATCCGGTCATCATTGACAGGTAAGTGAAAAATACCTCAATCAATCATTGTGCTCCTAAGCTCGTTCTAGTCAATTCTTGTTTTTCCACTGTCTTGATGGGTTTTGGACAAGAGGAAAAATGTCAGCTTAACTTGTAGGCCTACATATTTATTAAGGACTGTGAAATGGTGTCTTTTTTTTCATAGTCTTTACCAAACTTACTGTGCCTCATTTAAATGCTGTTCAGAGAGATAAGAGGAAATGGAGCTTCACCATAGCAGCCATCTTTCCGATATCTGCTTTTGGAGCGGCTATTCCTGTGTATCCCTGTGGAAACAAAAAACTCTTACCAGAAAAATGGCTGCCATGCAGAACCTCTATCTTAAAGTAATGTTGTAGAAGTCTTGACATTTTACATGCAATTTAAGTCAAATCGTCTATAGAGTTTATTTCCATAACCCTTTAGATTGACTTTGGTAATTTGGAAGTAAAATGTTGAAAATATCAGCTTGCTACATGTTCATTAGGAGTTAGCGTAACATGATTAAGCACATAGATAACATATTGATGCCATTCTGGTGATTTTTTACAAGATGTTGAGTGACAGGATGTGCCCTTGGGAAAAAAGAATCAAAAGGTGCAAACCGCTTAGTCCTAAAAAGGTTGTGCATGTTGTAGAATATTCAGAGTTCCTGTACTATTTGTCTGAGATGGATCAGAACTTTTGTCACCACAGACATGTTCTAACCTACATTGTATTTTGAGCCCGCTGAACTGGTCCTACCATGTATGTGTCTCGATCAGAGCAATATGAATTTAGATTGCAATCACACACCAACAACCTGCTACTTAAACAGTTAATTCTATGTGTTCTTGAAGTTGCTTAGGCATGTAACCCTAACCTAATTTCTCTGGGTTCAGTGAACCAAATGTCATCAATCCAGAAAGTAAGTTTTAAAACATCCCGTCACATTTCTGCAACAAGGTCTCAAATGATGGGGTAAGCAGAGATCCCACAATTCCCTCCTCTGATCTGTTCACCAGTCACTTTAAACATACCTCACCATCACAGATGTGATCATACTGATTTTCAATTTTCCTTGTAACTCATTTGTTTTGAATATTCTTAAAATTGTCAAAATCACAATTTGAAAATTAACATTTGCTAAAGAAAATAGTGTCACTTCTGTGGTCAATATTTGCTGTGAAAAATGCAGACTCCTAACGAAACTTGTTCATGATTTCTAGTTGTCTCATTTTGTGTGCACTTTGTACCAGTCGGTGAACTTTCTTGTTTCCACATCAACCAGCCACTAGTGTCAGGCACTTCTGAAAAAAAAATTCAAGATCTTTTATGATGAACAAAAAACAACTGTATAAAAGGCTGTAGAGGTTTGAGTTGACACAGCTGAGGGTGTAGTAATACCATCCTCTCCTTGTGGGTCTTGCTGTGGTTAGTGGACCCCAGTAGCTGGTAGGCCTCACTAGTTAGTTTTCTGCTAAGGTCATCAATTTCAGGGAGTATTGGCTGTTCTTTAAATCAGATTACACCTGTCAGATTTGGCAGCGCGTAGAGTCATCCCCAATTCAAGGAAAGAAAATCTGAAAGTGAAACAAACTTAATAATAGAAGCCACTTTATTAATGAGTTTGTGTCTTTGATGTACGGTAGAAGAAAACAAATGGTAAAACAATCACTTTTCATTGTTTGATTTGATGTTACTTCCAACTTAACAATTTTTTTAATTGTTTGAATATCTGTGGTGTAAAACTACTGTTTTAAACCGTAGGGATTTGCTGTTGTTTAGTTTCTCTGAAAGTTTTGGAACAGGAAAAGTGATTGTAAAGTGGTCTCCATTAAATACCTTCATCAGTGCCTCAATTTGAAAATGACAAGAATTAAATGGAAGTCCATCTGGATGACAGATTATCAGTTTACACCTTGCAAATTTGATAGAGGGGTCAAATAAAGTCAGGTTATTGCTTGTCAGGCTGAGACTTGAGCAAGTAAATGTAACATAAAAGTACTGGATGGCTTCTCTTACTCTGATTCGAAATTCGAATGTCGCTGCAGGTCAGGTTAGGTCAGGTCGGGCCAATTCAAATTAAGTTGGGTCTAGTGACCTTTGATTGGTGAGCCATTGCACAGAATATTTTATTGAAAATGTACACTGCATGTTTAGTTTAGAGTGTCTGTTGGATAGATTTGTCATTTAAGCCACTTTAAATCTTACAACTGAGAGGTCAGGTCAACTCAGGTAGGTCAGGTCAAGTCAGGTCAACTCAAGTTGGTAAAGGTTGTGTGTTCCCATTGGTAGGCAGATACCTCCTCATGCATTATTGATGAATCTCCTTCTGCTTGATGGACTCTACTCCCCCAGTCTCTTCCTCACCTAATTGAATTGGCTGATTGGCAATCTCCATGAAATTGCCTTGGTTGTAGGTGCTTCAGCGTGCGTCGGCAAGGCCAGGCTTTCCCCTCTGCCATCAGTCTCATTTGCATCAGAAAGCTAATCGTACCATGAATCTTTAATTGGTAACTTGATACCGAAATTCACAGGATAATTTTAACATAATAAGATATACATGTATTTCAAATTTTTTTTCCTGTGGGTCAAACTTCTGTGTACTTCCTTTTTTTGGATATGGTTTAGTGGTTTCTCACAACCACAAGCCAATTCAAAAGATATTTCATCACTTAAGATTAATCATTTATAATATATATTTTTTAATGACTGTATGGCAAAATCGTTACGGCAAAATGCTTGACTAGCTGTTGGGCTATTCTGAATGTAAGTTGTCATAGCAAGATGTGCTCATTTCGCTAACATTTGAATTCATAATGCTGCTTTGACACATAATTACATATGAAAAAATTACAATCAAAATATTGCCGTCCTGAGAAAATTTGCTGCATTAGTTAAGCATATTAATTAATACTTCCTTAATTGTTTTTCCCTTGACATATAAATTGTAGAAGAATTCCAGCCTCAGAGACAGCTTCATTACTTATACTTTGAAGTTCCTTAACTGTTGTTTAGACCTAGGGCTTGAGATGACCTTGTAGAATCCTCACCATAGGTAACTAGTGCAAGACCCTCTCATTAAGTTATCCCAGAAGGTTGCTTTTGTGCCTATTTCAGCCAGACCCACTACTAACAGGGTTTGGTTTCACTTTTTTATTCCCTTGAGTGGAGAGTCCAGTACCATGGGCATTTTTAGGGAGTTACTTTATTGATCAGTGAATGAACATGTAGAGAATTTACTAGATTTGATAGTAGGGTGATTCCAGAAATTAAGGTTCCATAATGTTTTGTGTCCCTGTCAAATCTGACATATGATTTAGTAAGTTTAGAACACATTTTCTAATTTCCAAGAGTGATGAATTAATGCAAATTTCCTGCCAGAGAAGTTGTATTGGTTTAAATCGATTCATGTGATATTTCCATGTCAAATAACAAAGGTCAGATGTAACAGGGGCACAAAAATATCACTCTTTTGGACCCCTGGAATTTCCCACTAAGTAAAATACAAAAAAATAAAAATTGGGCCATGGTAGTTTTTAAATTCTGGTCCCAATATTTAGGAGTCTCTCTCAGGTCTTTGTCGTTATGGAGAAGTCTTTGTTCTTTTCTCTCTGTTTTTGTTGTTTGTGTCACTGTTTTGAAAGCTAAAATTGTGGCAAGGATACATTTTTTTATGCTCATTATGTTGTCATTGGCTAGCTCCATGACCTTTGACCTTTGTCAAGAAGCACTTTGTAAACGCTGTATCCTGGACATCTGCAACTCTCATCATCTGGACAAGCAAATAGCCTCATATATCAGCCAGAATTAATCTTCTGCAATCTACTCTAAAGGTCTGACTTACAGTTTCTTGAAGGGCATGTGTTTGACCTGTGACATCCGACATTAAAGAGTCATTAACATTACTCCAAGCTCCCCATTTTTTTTTTGAAGGGAGTCATGTTTTAGCTGTGTTGTGATAGGATATATCTGGGTTAATCTGATGACTGTGTTGTACTGTGCATGGCTAGATAACACAGATGGAAGCAGAAACAATGAAACATGAAATGGTTTATGAGGTTTCTATTGTTTGTTACCATTACCTTTTTCCTGAACATGGTAATTTTGCCCAGGGAACATGTCTGTTTCTGCATAAACTTGATACAAGCAAGAAATATTGAAACAACGATATGTCCAACTTCAGGGAATCGACGCCACTTGTGAATAAAAAGGCCAGACAGGCTGATGCACTTTTGCCCAGGATGTAGTCAGGAAATGAAATTTCAAATGGGTATTACTATTAGATTGAAGAAGTGCTCGTAGGGAGAAAAAGCCCCTACTGGTGAAACAGTGGCTAGCCAGCGACAGACAGAATCCAAATTCTATGAATATAAGGGAATCTAAAGTGCAAGGCACCTTGGTTTGATTGTATAGCGATCCACTAATGTCTGACGGGCTTAGATGCGAGGACTGTGAAAGGGATCAAACAAATCTGGTGTGGGAGGATTTCTTGGTGTGATGGGCCGCAGTCCCAGGCGAGCAGGGGAGTGGATGGTGGGGGAGAGGGTCATCACTACTAGCACCATCCATGTAAAGCACCGTCAATGAGGCATGACATAACTGAGCTGTCTTGGTGGAGTAGAGGCTGGGATTGTTGGTAGTACTCTCCTTCCCTGGCTTGTTTTGCCTTCCCTGTCCCCCATCAAAGTGGTTGCATATTTTTGGTTCACCTTTCTCTAGGGTGTACAGTTGCATGGCTTGTATCCCATGGCATCAGGAAGTCCTTCCACAACAAGTAAGGGGAAGTGATTTGTGGGTGGATTTCCTTTATTATGTGTTATTCATGTAAACCTGATTCCCCTCAGCCTTGGGATGAGTCGAAACATACACATTAAATGACATTTCAGAACAATTAAATGTTGCCTGAAAAATGGAAATTATTTTGTAATGTTTACAGGTATGTGCCATCATTACTCTGTACGAACAGGCCGTTTACTGTACTATATGGTTTGGAAAATGTACTAAAACAAAAGTTG